TTGATGGCCAAGCATGGAAAAGACAATAGTGAGCAAAGAAGAAGTTATGAGTATTACTATCTGTCATGCAGGAGACCAGGGTTCGATTCCCTGACAGGGAACTTCTCTGTTAGTTCCCATTACAATGAGCTATGTCTTGAGTACATCATGTTCTTTTCCTGTTGTACACCAATGTTTCACTTAATTGGCACAAATTGAAAAACGTTGATTATCAGAGATCAGACCATCACTGCCTATCCCCTGCAAGCAGACCCTGTCTCAAATGTCTCATAGGGAGCAAACCAACTGGCTTAACTGCTTCAAAAGAATGAACAACACCTACTCAGGTATAAAACAAACTAAATGATTGTTTTCTACTTAAAAACTCTTTAGATTTTAAAATGGAAACATTGTCCTATGTTTTTTGAAATATATTTATTTAAAAAGTCAGTGTATGTATGCATTACCACCTCATTTTATTTCAATGTTCTGTATAAAGTAGCAGATTATTAAGAAAAATGTCTCCGGACCTTTACTGGTTGTTGATCTTCTTTATTTGGACCCCGCTGGTTTTTAATTGGTTACCCCTTTTTAATTGGTTTAATTGGTTAAACCCACTTGCTTGAAGTGGGTTTGTCGCACTAGCCCCTGCTGGCCCCCATCTAGAACCGCACATGTCTCACATAAAAAATAAAATTAAGAACTATAGTTTACAATGGAAGAACATTACGGTCACTGAAAAAAAAAAAGAAGTTAACTGATTTTTATATTTTATTTCAGTATAGTATGAGAAAAAAAAGTCAGGATTCTGAGATTAAAGTCAGAATTCTGAGAAGAAAAGTCAGAAATCTGAGATTATAGTCAGAACTCTCAGTAGAAAGTAAGAATTCTGGGATTAAAGTCAGAATTCTGAGAAGAAAAGTCAGAATTTTGAGATTAAAATCAGAATTCTGAGAAGAAAGTCAGAATTCTGAGAAGAAAGTCAGAATTCTGAGAAGAAAGTCAGAATTCTGAGAAGAAAGTCAGAATTCTGGGATTAAAGTCAGAATCCTGGGATTAAAGTCAGAATTCTGAGAAGAAAAGTCAGAATTCTGAGATTCAAATCAGAATTCTGAGATTAAAGTCAGAATTCTGAGAAGAAAAGTCAGAATTCTTTAATTAAAGACAGAATTCTGACTTTTTTCTCATGTCATATTGAAATAAAATTTAAAAATCAGTAAACTTTTTTTTTTCAGTGGTCCTAATCCTCTTCCGTACTTTAAAGTGTCCCTCTATGAACTTAATTTGCTTTAGGTGGAAATAATTAAGAATAACTATGGATAGGAACCTGGCGAATGTGGCATCTCAGGGCAGCCCTGCGTGGATGACGTCATCACGTCCGCAGCCTAGCAGCAGAAACGACGGACGTAAACAAAGCGGACCTCCACAAGCTAAGTGGACAAAATGTTGCTTTCGGTGAAATAGTCACTGGAAATCATAGTTTTTTTTTCCTCGTTTTTTTTCTCATGTCTTTACGGAGTTAATCTCCCAGCCAGCGTCGGAAGGAGTCTCTGTTCGCAGAGACGCTAACAAATTAGCCTCCTGCTAGCTGGGTTAGCTTCGGTAAACCTTAGGTAACGGGATTTTTCCAGTTCTGGTGGAAACATTGTCACCTAAGTCAGTGTTTCATTTATATCCCTTGTGTTTTTCCCCCAGTCATGTTGAATAACTCGGAATATGTTAAAGTAATGACACGGTGAGTTAGCTCACAGTGATGCAGCGAGTGATTTAAAGAGCCGTTGATCTGGATAGCTAGATAGAGGATCTCCCTCCATCATTTCCTCCCGGATAGATGGCCACCTAAGGAACCGCCGCGATCTGGAGGTGGACTGAGATGTTCAGCTTGATGGCGAACTGCTGCAGCTGGCTAAAACGGTGGAGAGAGCCTGCCAGGTGAGCTGGAGCTCCAATCAGAGCAGCTCACTCACAGATTTCATCAACAGATCCACAATTTCTCAACTCTAATACTGTTTATTCATGTTTGAACTTATGAAATACATTAGCTGATCACTTATCATCGATATACTGTCAGGGCAGAGTGAATGGATAGAAGGTTTATTTAGATTTGATTTGACAGATTTGTTGCTCAGGGATAGAAACTTAAAGGCTGGGGCGGAGCTAGATGGGGGGCCAGGGGTGGCCATGGCCACCCTTAGCTAATTATTGGCCACTCCAACCATTTTTTTCACCTCTAATAGAGATGGTGGCAACAGTAATACTTTCAAAAATTTTTTCTTATATTAACAATTACTTGACAACAAAAACACTGTTGTTAATTATGCACATCAATATACTAATATTAAAGATGATAAATACAGAATTCAAACAGAAATAGATTTGGTGTTTTATGGGGTAAAGAGAAAAGTCACCTCGGAGTCTTCAGTGAAATCATAGATAAATAACTATTTTAATAAAAACTTATTAAATAATCCATTCATGTAGATATTAGTACATATCAATTTTATGGAGAATGGTTAAGTAATGGCAATGGAAAGCTGAAAGAATTTTATCCACTATACCTTTTATCTAGAACACACTGATTTTTGAATATATTCATCTATTTGTTAGCAAAGGCTGAAGGAAAATATAGTTTTTCTTTATTTAGAAAATATGGATGTTTTGCTTGTTAATTTTCCTGTTGGAACAGTGGAGATTGACCGTGAGGTTTTGCTGCCTATCTGCTTTCAGCCACCCCTCAGTGTACATTAGTTATTGCCTGGACACCCTTATAAAAATGTTCTGGCTACGCCTCTGCTTTGAAGCATAAAGTATTATTATTTTTTTTAAATCTTTTTTTGAAGAACCCTTTAAAACACTGACCATATCTAAAAATGATAAAATACAGCATGAAGTTATAAAATAAGACAATAATATGAGTTTGTTTAAGCTAAATACAGAAGGTCACGACAATTTGGTCCTGTCAGTGTGAAAAGCCAGCTAATAAAAGTTTTTAGGCTTGTTTTAAAATGTGGACATTGTCAGACCAGCATACCCATAGTCAATACGCATGCGCAAGGCGTCACTATGCGTTTATCCCTTTAGAGTTGTGTGAAAAATACATTTTAAACTACTTTCACGAAAAAACAACGTAAGGTCAGATTGTCATACTCTTCAAAAAACACCGAAAAGTCAGTGATTAAATAGTTTTTTTGTACATGACTAAAGGGATACAAGCCCGTTGAGGTAGTTTAAAGTGTATTTTTCGTGCAAAACTAAAGATGCATAGGCAGCCATTGAAGTGAGGCCAGGACAAGAGTGATATGATCATATTTTGGGGTTCCAGTTAAAAGATGAGCAGCCGTGTTTTGCACCAGCTGTAGGCGAGACGGCAAAGACTGGAACACACCAGTATAGAGTCCATTACATTAATCCAATCGAGATTAAATAAAAGCATGATAACTGTTTAAAAGGGTTGCCTTTAAATAACTGCTGACAACTCCTCCAATTTTCCTTCCCAATTAAAAATCACTGTCCACCTTAAAACCCAAATTTGTGAAGGTGGATTTAAAATATGGTGTCAGGGCTCCTAGTAGGGAAGTCATTGGTGGGATTTGTTCCAAACACAATAAACTGAGTTTTCTTGACATTAAAATGTAAAAAGTTCAGGGCCAGCTAGGCGTTAACGTTGTCTAAACAGTTTAATAAAGACTTTACTGAAAAAAGGTCGCCCTGCTTTAGAGGCAAATGGATTTGGCAGTCATCAGCATAAAAATGGAAATCTATCCCATGTCTGCCCAGAATGGAACTGAGTGGCAGCAATGCAAAGAAAGGAGCAGTGGCCCTAAAATTGAGCCTTGTGGGACCCGTAGGACAGATAAGTACTGGACGATTAGGTGTTGCCAATTTTGACGCAGAAAGATTGGTCCGTCAGGTATGATCTGAACCAATTAAGAACAGTGTGTTGGATCCCTACTAATTGATTCAGATGTGTTATCAGAATATGATGGTCGACCTTGTAGAAAGCAGCTGTTACATCAAGCAGAACTAAAATAATGTAGCTACCAGAGTCACAAGCCCGGAGGATGTCATTAAAAACTCGCAGTAATGCTGAATCTGTATGACGAACCTTAAACCCAGACTGAAGTGTTTCAAGGAGATAATTAAAAAACAGGATTAATAGCCTGAGAACTGTGGTAGATGGGGATTTGGACAATTTTCATATATTTATTTAAAAACAATAAAAAATCATGATAATTGAGCAGTGTTGGCCTAGTGGTTAGAGCAGTGCGCTTGTGCTCTGAGAAGGTTGCAAGTAGCCGGTTCAATCCCCACAGCCTGCACTGGTTCCTGAGCAAGACCCTTAACCCCACACTGCTCCCCTAGCGCTGCACAATGGCAGTCCACTGCTCCCAAATGGATGTGTTAAATGCAGAAGTGAATTTATCCAATGTGCAATTAATAATGTTCAGTTATTATTATTGATAATATAAATTCCTGTATAAGTAACCTTGATTTTAGTAAAAGAAATCAGAAACTCCAAAAACTGATTGCGGGTTTTCCTTTTTTAAACATTTATCACTGTTGGTTTCATCAGGAAATGAATAATTGCTGTGTTTGCTTTTCTAAATTTGTCTTAGGGTAGATTTTTTTTCATGAAGCTCTGAAACTGCAGTGAAAGATTTATAGCTATGAAGAAAAACTGCCCTTTTACCAGCTTAGTCACTTTAATCTTCATTGCAATAAAAGCAGACATATATCATGATAAAACTTTATAAGAGCATCTTTTTTTATTAGTTTAATACAACACACAATAAAAAAAAAAATCATTATTTTTGGACAGACTTTATTTACTCCTATATTATTATTTCTTTTCTCTTTCAGATTAACATTTTGCTCAAAGTTTACTAGTTTTTATTCAATTTAAGAAAACAGTTGAATTCTGTCCAGAAGAAGATACTTGGATGCTTTGTATCATATAAACGCAGCATTGACCTCTACTGGGTCATCTGCAGATGGATCTTTTGGGTATTAATGTTTTTTTTTGTGTGCAAAAAAAGTCCCTTTCGTGAGTATCTTCACAAGTGTCTTCGTGAATTATTTGAAAGAATTGCCCTCTCTACTTAAAGAAAATGCACATGCATAACCTTGCACCTGGTCCCGCGAGAGACCGCCTATTAAAAGTGTGCGAGAGCGTGCACAAGCCCATTTCTCACACACTGTTTAAAAATTGCTATTTGCATCATTCATACAAGCTTACTTTGCTATTTTTCAACTATGTCAGACCACTTGTAAGTAGAAATGGGGACGAGCACGTAGGACGGCCTTATATAAACATATCACCAGAATGATTGACAAGTAGGAGGACCACTTATTTAGATGATCCACCCGCAAAATGAACATCCTCCACAATAGCTTTAATAAATAATTTTTCTTTGTTAGTTACGGATCGACCTTTATGATCCTGGGTTTGTCTTGAAGGCAGTTATTTTTTTTGTGAGGCTCTGACACTGCAGAAAAAAGCATTTTTACCAGCTTTTTCACTTTAATATTTATTGTATTTAATGCAAGAAGTATATCATTATCGAACATAATTAGACCATTTTTATTAAGTAAAACATACTTATTAAGAATAAACTAATTTGTATATCTATTTTTTCTGAACAAAAAACAGACTTGGTTATGTATTATTAGTTATTCCCTCTTTTAAAGTAACATTTTGCTCAAAGTTCACTTGTTTTTGTTCAGTTTAAACAATAAAAGTTGTATTCAGTCCAGAAGGAGATACCTAAATGCTTTCCATCATATAGATGCAGCAATAACCTGTACTGGGTCATCTACATGCGCATCTTCTGGGTATAAAATTACATTTTTTTGTGTTTTTAAAAAAAAAAAAAAAAAAAAAACTTCCATCTTTTAG